TGAGACCCAATAGCAAAACCAGCTGCAGAGGGCACTTCAAGGCTCTAAAAGTGTTGGTTAAATTAGGTAACTAAGGTAAGTTGGGTTCCTTTCAATGCTTTAATTCCACCAACACATTGTCACTTTGACCTACCATCTTTTTTCCTGTATACTGGCAGAGGGTCAGAAGCCAGCTGAGAGGACTTTTGCCACCTGGCTACCAGTTCTTCTATAAACCGACTCTTCTTCCCATCAGTCCCCTGGATGAGGTCAATTACATATTCTCGGATCTCCTCTTCATTTTTAATTGATAAGATGTACCTCAAAGTGGACAACAAGAAGGGAAACTAGTCACCAAACAATAGCATCCTAGGTAACAACATGATAAACCCTCCCAAATTTTCCTGTGTCCAGCATCAAGTGCTTTAGAGAAAGCTGAAAAAAACCACACAGAAGCCTACAGAACATTCCAAAGAAAGAGAAGAGGGACTCCTTCCTGACCCCTGCAGATGATCAGTAGAAACCCTGAAGCACAGGATAGCCAGACACTTGCCATACAGAGAAAAATCTACCTTTCATCCTCAACATGGGGATTGCAAGTGCTTGAATCTGCATATTACTCATGGATTATCAATCCACGGTGTGACCACCTCGCTTCGAATACCCGTTCATGCGCTGCCTTAGAGCATGCACCTGGTGGTGGGCATGGTGAGGGTTTGTGTGGCCACTGAGATGGACCTTGATCACCCTGGAGAAGTTTAAACTCACCTGCCATGACTTTGAGTGTATTTTCAGTGGAGGGGTCTTCTTCCGTAGGTCCCTCAGAGTCGGTCACCCCTCCCAGTGGATATTCGTAGGGCTCCACCTCCCCTACACCCCTTCCTTATACCAACCTCCGGCGGGCCATCTTAATTTAATGGCACCATTCCTCTGGTTTAGATGACCTTTGATCTTCACGCCCTCTTCGGGATTGGTTATTAACTTTGTTTCTTTGATAGGCTACAGGCCTACTGGATACGTCCATCTTGCCTATCTTCCCTGCTGTCGATGGCTACTTGCTGAGCCTCGTGATCACCCTGGTGATGCGGTGTCAGCCAGATCCCCCTCAAAGCAGACCAAACCAATGAATACCCCAAAAAAAAAAGACAGACCACAACAGCAACACAAGAGACTATATACACACTAGTGGCAACTAAAGAGAAAAAATGACTTAAAGAATAGGAGGGCGGATAGAAGAGAAGAGATCAGGATACACTGCTCCTTCCCTCTTTTAGCCCTAGAGTCGAAACCAGGTTGCGTCCCATGGCACTGCTCCGCTCTGCGCTTTTGTCAGGGTGTCTTCTGTCCTTCCCCGGGTCAGCCTCCCTCCACGTCTTTGTATCTGTATGAACCCAAAGTAGGAAGCCTCCGCCATCTCTGGGTTTGCTATAACTCCTTCAGGAGCAAAGGTGTCCCCTGGATGCCGGTGCTGCTCGTGACCAGCGTGGGGTTTATTCCCTGCCACTTGGGCTGCCTGTCCCCCAAGCGTAATCCACCCCTTCTCACTGGGGCTGCTTGCCACCAATGCAGAGAGCCTCTGAAGCCTCCACTGCCACTCTCTGATCTGGATCCATTCTTTCTTTTGTGCGGGCATGGAGAGCCTCTGAAGCCTCCGCTGACTCTCCCCCACTCCATGCGGCTCTTTCGGCGCTCCCTTTTATCTTTCCTGGTCGGTGATTGCTCCTGACATCACCCGCTGGCTCCAGCTATATATAGGCACAGCTCATGAACTGCGCGGGTTCCGCTCTTTGTTCCTTCGGGGTCTGGCGTCCTGTGGCCGGTAAGTAGTTTCTTTTTGGGGGGTTTTTATCCACAGGGTGTGTAGCCCCCGTCCTGGGGTCCCCTTCGGGGAAGGTCTCTAGCTCTCCTGTGGTTGTGCCTCTGGGACATAACCCCCACTTTAAGATGCCTTAGGGTGCTTCATTTCCTTGTTTTGGTGTCCTACTTGTCATCCCGGGTGTTTCGCTCAGTTGGTGTTTGGCGTCACCATGTTTGGTCTCGTTTCCGCATCTGGATAAGAAATCCACCACTATGTTACTTGTCCCTGGTCGATGTAGCACGTGGAACTTGAATGGTTGTAGTACAAGGGCCCACCTTGTAATCCAGGCATTATTGGTCTTGGCTGTGCTTAGGCATCTTAAGGGAGCATGGTCCATTACCAGCTTAAACTCCCTCCCCATCAGGTAGTACCTGAAGCATTCTACCACCCAGCGGATTGCCAAACATTCCCGTTCTCTGGTCGCATATCATGTTTCTGCAGGCAGTAATTTTCAGCTAGCACAGGCAACTGGTCTCTCTATCCCTCCATCTTCTTGGGTTAGGACTGTCCCGACAGTAGTCTCTGACATGTCTGTCTGCAATATAAAAGGTTTACAGAAATCAGGTGCATGTATCACAACATCTTCGCATAGGGCCTTTTTGAGCAATTCGAAGTTCTGTGTCATTCTGGTCGTCCATTTTATGCTTCTCGCCCACTGTCCTTTTAGGGCTTCCATAAGAGGTGCCGCTAGGTCAGAAAATCAGGGGACAAACCGGCAGTAATAATTGGTCAACCCCAAAAAGGATCTAAGCTGTTTGCTGGGCTGGGGTGCCTTAAAGTTGCGGATGGTTTCCACTTCGTCAGCTAATGGCCTAGATATATATATCTCGGTATATATATATATCCTAGATATATGGTTTGCCTCTAAGCCAGCACGCATTTTCTTGGGTTCGCCATCATCCCTGTTTTTCTTAGTTCTGACAGTACGGCCCGGAGAGCCCTCTTATGCTGAGCACATGTTTGCATGAACACAACAATGTCATCAATGTAGGCTGCAGCATACCCGGTGTGTGGCGCCAGGATCTGGTCCATTAGACGCTGCATACGAACAAACTCGTATAGACCCCATACTGTCCCAAAAGCTGTCTTGGGCCAGTCCCTACTGGCCACGGGGATCTGCCAATACCCATTTGCCAAGTCGAGCGTTGTCATATATTGGGCATTCCCAATGCGTTCCACTAGTTCTGCAACGTGGAGCACAGGGAATGCATCGAAGACTGCCGTTGTATTTAATCGTCGGTAATCAACGCTTAACCCCAGAGATCCATCTGGTTTTGGGACTGGGACCAACAGACTTTGCCACAGGCTTTTGGATGGGTGTATGATCCCTTGTTCAAGCATTTTCTCAACCTCTTTGCGTATCTCTCCTGAGAGGTGATGGGGCACCAGTTGCCATGTCTCCCACACTATGGCTCCCAGTGGTGTCTGTATTGTGTGGTCTGTATTGTGTGGAACCCACCCAGGTTCCTCTCAGAATACATCTTTCAATTTCTTAACCAGAGCCTGCATCTCATATCTTTCAGATGTCAACAGTTCTTACTCTATTTGGAATTGGTCCTCTGTTCTAGCCGTTCCTTTCTCTTGGGATTGCTCCCTGGGGTCCCAGGTCTTCTGTATCCGCCTCCATAAAGGCTCCCCATTGCTCCAGTTTATGCCCTTCGCGCAAGAGGTTGACGTGATATATTTGTTTCTCACGTAGATGGCCTGGTCGGTGAACCTTAGTCCACCAGTCCCACCCTGCGAGTTATCTCAAACAGGCCCTGCCACTGGGTTAGGCAGCTTACTCGAGGATGTGGGCAGCAGCACCAGCACCTTCTGTCTGGGTTCGAATTCTTGCTCTTTAGTGTGCGCATCATACCTCTCTTTCTGATGATGTTGTGCCTCCTGCATATTATCCTTGGCCAGGTCTTGGGCCAGCTGGATCCTTTGTTGCAATTCTTGCCGATATGTGATCGGGTTTCTCGCATTCCCTGTATCTTGTTCCCAATCTTCTCTTAGGGCCTGGAGTAGGCCTCTCGGGGGTGACCTAATACTAGCTCAAAGGGAGAATATTTAATTAACTCCTGTGGAGTGTCCCGAAGGACAAACAGAACTAATGGAAGAAGCAGAACCCACTTTTGCAGGTCTCCTCTTATACGGCATTACAACATTCTTTTTATTGTCCCATTGAGATGTTCTACCAGGCCATTAGTAGTCTGGGAGTGGTACACAGATGTACACAGGTGTTTTATCCGTAGGATGCAGCACACCACTTGTAACACCCCTGACATGAAATTACGCCCCTGATCAGTGAGGATTTCTTGAGGAATTCCCATCCTCGCTATCCACTTAATGAGTTCTTCCGCGACCCGTGGAGCCGTTACTGCCCACAGGGACACAGCATCTGGGTACCGGGTGGCGCAATCTATGAATACCAGTATATACTGGTGTCCTGTGCTGCTACGGGGTAGTGGTCCAACCACATCCATGGCTATCCTTGAAAACGGGATATCAACGATAGGCATGGGTTGAAGTGGGGCCCTCGCCAGGCAATCCTCCCTGGCTTTCTGACATTCGGGACAAGCTGTGCAATGGCACGCAACATCTTCCCCCAACCCTGGCCAGAAGAACCACTGGGACACTCTAGCAGTGGTCTTATCCCAACCTAGGTGTCCTCCTGTGTAATAACCAATTTGTACCAACTTGAACAACTATTCAGTTCTTTAACCTAAACAGTTCTTCTCTCCCCTCCTCCAACATTCATACTGTAAACATCACAGAGGTAGATTCATAGATTCATAGATTGTAGAGTCGGAAGGGACCACAATGGATCATCGTGTCCGACCCCCTGCCCCTGGCAGGAAAGAGGACCGAGGTCAGATGACCCCAGCCAGGTGACTATCTAGCCTCCTCTTGGACACCTCCAAGCTAGGTGATAGCACCACCTCTCTTGGAAGCCCATTCCAGATCCTGGCCAACCTTCCTGTGAAAAATTTCTTCCTAATATCTAACCTAAATCCACTCTCAACTAGTTTACACCCATTATTCCTAGTCACTCCCTGGGGTGCCTTAGTAAACAGCGCTTCCCCTATTCCCCGTTGACCTCCCCTAATAAATTTATAGGCGGCCACAAGATCTCCCCTCAGCCATCTCTTGTGAAGGCTGAAGAGATTCAGCTCTCTCAACCTCCCCCTGTAGGGTCTATCACAAAGGCCAATAATCATGCAAGTGGCCCTCCTCTGGAGAACTCTAGTTCTCCAGTCATCTATAGTGTCTTCCTGAAAACACAGTACAGAAAAAATGTAAAAGAAGTGATTATAGGAGAAAACCCTACAGTTTTCAACTTATTTTTAGCCACCAAAAACAAGCAAAAGGTTGTGGGGGTGCACAAATCCTGTGCTATCTTCACATGTAGCCTTCCAAGGCTTGTGCAAAAAATGCCCAAACTACAAAATGCACCAAAGCCAGAAGGGCTAAATCAGACCTGGTACAAGATCTAATTATGGATATAAGCCCCTCCTTATCACCCGATGCTTAGCAAGCATTTAGAGCTTTGCCAAAGCAGGTGACAAAGCTAGCCCTGAATTTGGGCAGGGACTTTGGATGAGGAAACACCTGCATGATTAAAACTAGTTATAGGAGAGGGAATGCAGACCTCTGTGACAGAAGATACAGTCAGTATCTTAGAGATCCAGGAGGAAAGACTAAGTTTGTATGTAAAAAAGTGAGACAAAAACTACAAGCAAATACAGCTGACATTAAAAATAATCTTCCCAAGGATACAACAATAAGGATCATTTGGGGATCTAAATGGGAGGGAAACGGGACCAAGTAAATTATGGGGGGGGAAGCACGGGCATTAGTAAATAAAGTTAACTTTAAGATGAGAATGTATAAAAGAATACACGGGGACCAAAAGTGTATTACAGTATTGCAGGTACATTAAGTAGCCCAGCCATTATCTAGCTTTCTTTATTTCCTTAAATTATAAAGAGGTGACGACAGTTCCAGCTTTAGATAGATAGCAAGACAGATAGATACATACGTGTATGTACGTATAGATCTATATAGATCAATTCATATATCTTGACAGATAAATCATAAAGTGTGTGTGGGGGGGGGGGGGGATGCATGCACACATACCAAGCAGTATGTACATGTACCAGCCATGTTTTCACCAGCCAGGAGCCCAGTATCTCTAACCAGACTGTTTGAACATTAACATATACAAACAGTATACTGATAGCACAGATATTCAGTTATAAGAACAGTCATATATTATTTCCTTTGCAAATGTGTAATGCAATCCCCATGTATTGCTCCAGTATTGGATTTTGTTTTGACATCTGCCTGAATTCATTTTTTTTTCCTAAAAAAAAAAAACACCCTTTCCTTTTTCCTTATCCCCAAATGGCAGCCGGGCCTTGCAGCACACAGCTGAGCAGCCAGGCCTGGACCCTGCAAAGCTTGACCCACGGGCACAAATCCTAGCGGCGTGAGGCCCCGGGGGAACAATCCCAGCGCTCGGCACTCACTGGAACCAGCCAACGGCCACCCCAGGCCGCGCCGCGCCGCGCCACACCGCACCGGTCCAGGTGCATCTTGTGGGTGCGGATCAGTGCCTTGCACTGGACAACAATAACAACAACAGTGATGATAGCGGGCAGCAGCACCACCAAAAGTAATTATACTAGCGATGGTAGTAAGGATAATATTAACAGCGATGATGACAACGACACTATCACCATCATGACGGCAATGCTGAGGCGACGATGACGACAGGGACGACAGTGCCAGCAGTAAGAACGACACCAACAGCACCGGGCAGGCCCCGCGGCAGCCTCGGCACTGGGGGGTCGAGGCCCGCAGCCCACCGGACCGCGGCCGAGCGGCTCCGCGAGCGGGGGCGCTCCGAGGGGGGCCGGCCCCTCCCGCCCCGGCCCGTGCCCCCCGCCGCCCGCGCTCACTGCACGAGCTCCTCGCGGCAGCGCCAGCCGCGCACTGCAGTTCCGGCCAGCCTGCGGCCAGCCCTTCTCCGGGCACTTGCCAGGTCAGGTGTACGGATGATCGTATTTGCACAACCATTTCAACCCTTGCACGATCGATAATACTAAAAGTGTTCAAAATGCACGGTCATTTCGAGGTAGTTAATGAATGCAGCATATGCAAAACCCAAGTGACTCTCAGAGAGTCTTCACCAGCTTTTGGATTTGCTGTCAGCGCTTCCTACTACCGGCAAACATCCTCCCCCATCCGCACCTGGGGCTTCAAATGTTCCCAAAACCTTTGGTGGGCGTGCTACGTGCAGGCCCAAGCCCAGAGGCTTGGGTTTCGGATGCCCACAGGTTTCACTTGCCCTCAGCCATATGGCCGCAGAAGCAATCTAGGGAGGAGCCTGCCATTTCCATAAAGTGGGCGTAAAGCCAAGGTTAACTATGCATTACCTACACAGTACTATCCCATGCCAGCAGAGCAGTCTTCCCTGGGTGCGACTAGGGTGGCCATCATAGAAGACATTCCAGTTTTCTGCTACTCTGTCCTCTACTGATACAAAACCGGACGCCTTTACATCCTCTATTTTTCTTTTCAAGAACAAAAATAGAGGACGTAGAGGCATCCAGTTTGTATCAATAGAGGACAGAGGACAACCAGACTGTCCTCTATGATGGCCACCCTAGGTGCAACTAGGAAGCCTTTTTTTTTTTTTTTAATAAAACATTTTATTAGAAAACCATACTATAACAAAAGACTCAAAACGACCCCAAACAGAGGCCTCCCAAAAGGGTAATACAACATTTCAAATAACATAATACAAAACATCGGAATTAATATCATATTGCACGTCATCTCATTTGTACACAGTATATACAACATCCCTGAGTATTGGCTATCTAACACATATTACACATATCATATTAGACATCCTGTATGTCCCCCCCCAAAAAAAGGAAAGCAAGAACACTGAGTGCAATATAGGTCTCTTGTTGTCTCTATCCCATGTGCAACCCTAGCCAGCCTTTTCTACTCACAGTGCTGACTCTTAGTTTAGCCTATACCTGTGCTGGGCTGAAACAACCCCTGAAGTCCATCTCTTGCCAGAATTTTTCCTCCCCTCCTTCTTTTGTATTTGGTGATCATAGTATTATTTTCGTAACAAAACAAAAAAAAACAAAAAACAAAACAAAAAAAAAAGCTTCAACTTTGATGACCCAGTTCTCACTCACTCTCTGGAGGTTACAGTGAGTAGCAGTGTAAAGTAATTGTATAACAATTTACAATACACAGACCTGAACGGCAAAACAAAGAGAAAAGAATAATCATAGTAATAAATTCAGTTTAACCAGTCAAAAAAAGAGTTAAACAAAACATCATGGGCCCAATGCCAAGTAGAGTGGTGCAGGATGTGGTGATAACAGTATAAGGCAACATGATGTTGCCTAAAGAGGAAGACTTATTTGCATTCTTATTTACATATTTTCCCAGTGAATGATAGTTTTTCAGAAAATACAAACAACAATTTGGAGCTTCCATTATGATAATTTCATATTTAAGACCTGGCAACACTGCTGCGTCCACTAGGCGCCTTGGAGGGCTGCCCAAGGAGCCTTCCAGGCTGGGCAGGGACAGTCTCCCGACTCCCATCCCCCGCCTTCCCCCCCCCAGGAGCCCTGCCCTACCCCTGTGGCACAGGAAGGGGGTACCCAGAGTGGTTGGTCCAGAATAAGCACCTAGAATATCCCAGGGGTCCCTTGGCTTCACTAGACCTGCCCTGGGTACAGGGGCCTGGCATTCAGCTGCCCTGTCCCACAGAGCTGAGCCAGCTTGGACAGTGCCAGGCTTAAAATGTCTGTGCCCACCTGGAACCCTGCAAGCACTGGGTCCCTCTGGGTGAGGATGAGCTGGCAGCAGTAGGAATAGGGCCCATCAGCAGCTTTTCCCAGTGTAGAGACAGCTTTGCGCTTTGTCTTCACTGCAGAAAAAAAAGGCTAGCACAAGGTGGCACCATAAGGATGAAATCCTGCTGGGGAAATGGTGCAGGTTTTTGTTGCGTTGTAGGTAGTTGCAATCAACCTGTACCCCTCCCCTGCCTGGCGTTCACCTTGACTTGCTAGATCCAGGTGCCCACTGCAAAGCAACACAGCACTGAGCATCAGAAGGCTACAAGATTAGGTTCACAGCACTCAGATGACAATGTAGCTGTTGGAGCCATGCTTCCCACTGCTCTGCTGAAAAAAAAAAGATTGATGAGAGAAAAAAAAACTTCTACAGCCAGATTCTAAATGATTTGCCACATACAACTGGCAAACTCCAGGTAATGCAGCAAGGATCCTGTCTGCCACAACATCTCCCCCAAAACAGAAAAAGCAGCTGTGGCCAGTCGAAAATTAGAGAGTTTGTGAGCATGTGATCCTTCTCTGGCACAACACACATGTCTACACACATGCACACACACCCAGGGAAGCACAGAATACTTTCTAGGATTCTCTAAGCACTGGGTACACACACGTCTTCTGCCTACAGGACAACATGTGAATGTAACTATTAGGGATGTGATTCACTTCCAATATAATACAGTCAATGCAATCCCTTGTGTGGAGACAATTGTACTGGCATGGAGTTTGTAGCCCATTATAGGAATAAGTGTCCCCAGCATAAGAAGCATCTTTATCAGTATTTAAAGCCAGGGCTAGCTTCTAACACACATCAGACTGAATTTTATTAGTAGATGTTAACAGTTATGAACCAAAAAGATGACAAAGCTAGTAGGGAAATACAGACTGCCCAAGGGAGGGACTAACATAAGAGGGATGGGGGTGAGGAGGGGAACCCAACTAGGTTACAGAAAATACAATGTTAGCCAACTAAGCCTGGGGGTGGCAGAAGGGGGAGGGGGAAGGAGAAGGAGGGGGTTCGCAATGCTGAGAGAAAAAAAAGATAGATACACGCAAACCCTACAGATGTAACTCAGACAGGTCATGAAGCATGTTAAAGGGGAGGAAAAAAATATCTGGAACTATGTGAAGTCCTGGTGGTCATGGCCACTCCTCTAAGTCTTTTCTCCCCTCTCCAACAGAATATGTTTTAGAAAATATTCCCATTATGACCTCAGCGTACAAATAACATTACTTAAGATAGTGGCTCATAATCTGTGGCCTAAAGAGCACTGGCTGGTCACAGGGGGCTGGCTCTCTCTGCTTCTACCTTCTAATTTACATTAAAGGACACTGAAAATACATTAGCTACTTCCTTAATGTTTCTTCCTCAGGTATTATGTTACAGTCTTTGTGGCAGGCTTGTGCGATAATTCCCAAAGGAGGGGTCATGCTTGCAATTGTGAATGGAAGAGGAGGCCCAAGAGTCTATACTACAGCTGCACAGCTACACAGAGAACATTTAACTGTATTTTTCCCATCACCGCTATAACATCTCTGCCGATGCAGTGATAGACGTGCTGCTATAAGCTGTCACCAGTGTCTCTGCCCGCTAGCTGTCTAACCCTGCTCAGAGCAAGTCTGGATGAAAGAATCCTTGCATTTGATCTATGCTATTGCTTTCCCCAGTGAAGCTATAAGATTGCAAGATCAATAGTGAGAAAATGGATAGAAATTCTCAATGGAGAATTTCTAAAGAAAACAGGACTCCCTCAGGGACTGGTCTGTCTCTCACTACTGTGAAATCCAAGCCCAGTGAATAAGTGCATTAGTTGAATGTTCCCACTAAAATAATCAGCAGCAAAATAATTAACAGTGTCACTTGTAAACTGTCACTCTCATTGAGATGAAGGTGGCAGTTCACACACACAGGTTCTGAAACTTTTTTGAGTCATCTATTCTTGTTTAATTTGTTCAGCTGTGCACAGGCCTAGGACTCCGCATTATGGATAATAAGAACAAGAATAAGAACAACCTAAGACAGTAATTCTCAACTAGAGTGCTGCAGCACCCTGGGGTGCCTTGAGACCCTTTAAGAGTGCCACAGGGTGCAACACATTGTTAGTACTATTAGGGGTACAAACATAGGTCACAAGATTAACCCTGAGATTTCAAATAGGAATCTATAGTGTTAAAAACATTCTGACCTGTTGTGATCTTTATGAGCTCTTTGCAACAAAAGAATTGCTCACTTTTTTCTATAGTCAAAAAATTTGTGAAAATTAAGAACTGGCATTTTCTGATGGGTCTCTCGAGTCTGAAAAGGTTGAGAACCACTGATCTATGACATATAAGTTGTTCTTAATTTTTTTCTTTTCCTTCCTTTTTCCTTTTTGTAGTTGCTCTTCGCCTCTTTCCACTTTCCTATTCCTTGTGCACATTCTAGCTTGTGTGCTGCCTGCTTTCTTGACTAGGCATGCTCTGTTTTGAGAAATGTTGCTTACAATCAGTGTTTTTCATTTTGTGTTCCATGGAACCCTTTGGTTCTACAATAGGACATCAGCGCTGCCACAAAGAGATCAGGGTATTGGTCAAGAGGGCTGGGAGGCAGTGTACTGCCACTGTCAGTCCAGGTTGCATGGCGCCATGCCAGTCTAAAGGGGAGGGGTAGAGGTTTCGTGGCAGAAGAAGTGACATGAGAGAGTTATGTGACTGCAAGAAGTTTGAAAACCACTGCTTACAACCATAGAGTCAGAGGGGTTCTCAAAGACTATCTAGTACTACACCTTCATTCTTCAGCAATCCTTCACAGTCGAGGATGATTGATTTCCATGATTGTCTTATTTGTACATCCAAAGATCGGCAGACTCTACTGCAGCTTGGACATGTGTTTCCATGCGGAGTGGGTGACACTGGATTCTTGATTTGGTCTGTGATGGACTGTTTCTGCTGCTCCTGCTTTTCCATCTTCTGTTGTTGTCATGAGGCTTCAAAGTACTAAGATCCCTGGAGCAGACCTTCCTCCATTTGGGCCAGTCCTGGGTAACAGTCTCCCACAAGTTGACATCAGTGTTGCATTTTTTTAAGTTGGCCTTGAGGACATCCCTGAAGCACTTTCTCTGTCCTCCTGTTGACCATATGCCTTGGCTGAGCTGGGAGAATAAAACTTG